ACCAGGAAAGATACATTGAGATTTCTCTCGTTTTCAAGTACGTCCTGGGTCGTACAAAATACAAAAACAATATTAATACACAATATATACAAAATTTAACATAGAACAGGCAGGAAATATATAATCAACCATGACATGTGCATTCTGTTTTGAGGTATGTAGAGAGGGATCTCTTAAAAGACTTTAGGCTTAGGGAAGATTTTAAATTGTGCGGGAGGTCGTTCCACAATTGCGGCGCTCTGTAGGAGAAGGAGGATCGGGCCGCTTTCTTTTTGTATTGAGGTAGACTAAGTAAAGTGCTTGTACTGGATCGGAGGTTATAGAAAGTGGGAACAGCTGGGGAAAGCATTTTGTTCAGGTAGGGTGTGAGTTTCCCAGAAAAGCTCTTAAAAACAAGGCTGGAAAGATGAAGGGTGCGTCTGGATTCCAGCGACAGCCAGTTTAGTTCCTTTAGCATGTCACAATGATGGGTCCTGTAATTACATTGTAGCACAAATCTGCAGAACGAGTTATACAATGTGTTGAGTTTATTAATGTGGGATTGCGATGCAGACGCATATACTACATCCCCATAATCAATGATTGGCATCAGCATTTGCTGTACAATCTTTTCCTTTACTGTAGGGCTTAGGCAGGCTTTGTTTCTGTACAGGGCACCTAATTTTGGATAAAGTTTAGATGCAAGCTTTTCTATGTGCAGGCTAAAAGATAGATTGGGGTCTAATATCATACCCAAGTATTTGAAAGAGTGGACCGCGGTCAGTGTGCCATTTGAATTTGTTTTGATGGATAGGTGGGGATTGTGTAATTTGTGTAATTTAGGTACCGTTCCAAAGATCATTGTGACAGTTTTGTCAGTGTTCAGGAAGAGTTTGTTTTTTGCGATCCACTTTTCTACCTCTGTAAACTGGTCTTGGAGCAAAGCCTCAAGTTGAGGTAGATTGGATTTGCTCGCATAGATTACCGTGTCATCTGCGTACATGTGTACATTTGAGGATTGGCAGACATTAGGCAGATCATTTATAAATAATGTAAATAGTAGGGGCCGAGAATGGAACCCTGGGGAACACCACACGTGACCGGGAGAGGGAGGGAGTCACTGTCAGAAATGGACACATATTGCGAGCGATCCGATACATACGATCGAAACCAGTTTAAAGAATGATCACCAATACCTGAGTTTTTGAGTTTGTGCAGTAGAATGTCGTGGTCTACTGTGTCAAAGGCCTTAGCAAAATCAAGGAAAATAGCTCCAGTTAGGGCTCCTTGTTCCATGCCAGTTTGGATGTCATTGCAAACTTTTAGGAGGGCAGTTGTAGTGGAGTGATTCTGGCGAAAGCCCGATTGATCAGGGGTCAGATAGTTTAATTGTTGGTAGTACTCACAAAGTTGCGTATGGACACATTTTTCTAAGATTTTTGACAATACAGGGAGCAATGATATTGGGCGATAGTTAGAAACCAAAGTAGTGTCACCACTTTTATGGATAGGCACTACTCTCGCAGTCTTCCAAAGTTTGGGTATGTATCCAGACACCAATGATTCGTTAATTAGAGTTGAGACGGGTTTAGCAATTGCCGGCGCACTGAGCTTCAACAGCATTGCTGGGATTTGATCAGGTCCGGACTGGTTTTTCATTTTTAGATTATTAAGATGTTTTTTAATGACACTAACAGGTACAGGTCTAAAATTAAACTTATCTATATTGGGCCTTTGCAAATTTAGTGGGGCCTGATCCACATTTGTAGTTTCAGGATGCGTGTCATTTATTAGCTTGGCAATCAGGGCAGTAGAGCATCCGACAAAATAATTGTTAAAGGCATTTGCTACATCTAAGGGAAGTTGCAGGGTTTGGTTACCCACTTTGACAGTGGAGGGTTGGGAGTGGATTGGGGGAGTTTGTAGTTTATTTATGACTTTCCAAAAGTTTCTAGGGTTTGAGATGTTACTGTTCAGATTTTCATAGAAATATTGGGCCTTGGCCAGTTTTGTCTGTTTTGTGCATATATTTCGCCATTGTCTATATGCACCGTGATCATTCATAGAGCCAGTACGCTTAAATTTTGACCACTAAGAGCCTCTAGGTTCCAAACATGGGGATTAGCTACTTTCTTGGTCATCTTTGTTATGGAACTTATTAGACGAGAAATTCTTTATAAATTCCCTATAATAATTTGAGAACCCAATAAACCTTTGGACAGCCTTGAGTCTTTAAAGAAGTGGCCAAGATGTAATGGCCTCTAATTTAGAAAAATTCATATTGAATCCTTTTTCAGAGATGAAATAACCAAAGAATTACACTGTAGTCTGATCAAAGAAACATGTATCTAGTTTACAGTACAATCTGTGTTGAAGTAACCTGTGCAAAACTATCCTAACATGTTGATAATGTGTTTTAAGGTCTGATGAATGAATGAGCATGTAATCTAAGTAGACAACAGCACATACGGGTAAGACATCACGTAAAACATTATTTATCAGATCTTGAATGACTGCAGGGGCATAACCCAGAAGGCATCAGCAAGTATGCGGAATGCCCGGTGCGAGTGTTGAAGGCTGTTTTCCATTCGTGCCCCTGTCTTATCCTCACTAGATTATATGCACCCCTTAGATCAAGTTTTGTGAAATACTTAGACCCCTTTACACGATCAAATAATTCCTATGATCAAATAACTCCTGATCCTACTAAGACCCCTGTAATCAATACAGGGTCTCAAATCACCCTCCTTCTTTGAGACAAAAATAATCCTTCGCCTGCAAGGGATGAGGATTGCCTAATGAATCCTTTCTTTAAGGATTCCTGTATATATTCCTCCATGATTCTATTATTATTTTCCATAGTAAATAAAGGGGGCATAGTATCAGCCTCCCTTTTTTCAAATACTTTGGCAAGATCAGCTTATTGCATAGGTATAGAAGTTGACAAAGGAGAGGCAGTAGTTATGTTCAGTTTGCAAATATGACATACCTGTTCAAAACAATTAGAATAACATTCCTTCCAAAGTACAATATTTCTGATATCACCCAATCAATTACAGGGTTGTGTTTCACCAACCAGGTGAAACCTGGAACAATAGGACAAGAAAAGGAATGCAATATCTGAAACGTTAATCTTTCTTTGTGCAATACCCCCACAGACAAACAATTCCTGGTTTTCATGCGTGACAAGAGGTTTGTCTAATGGTCTACTATCTATGGCCTGAATGGCCAAGAGTGTAGCCTTTTTGGATCAGAGACAAAGCAGCGGAGTTGGTAAAATCCTGGTCCATTAAATTAGCCACTGTACCTGAATCGATCAAAGCATCAGTGGTGATGGCGCTACCACTGACATAAGGTATGACTAGTATAGTTAGTCTAGTTGTATTAGCAGAATGGGATAATGTCATAACACCCAAGGCCAATCCCTGACTAGGTCTTAGGTGCTGGAGTTTTTACTGGACGGCTAGGACATTCCTTTTTCAAATGCCCCCTTTTACCGCAATAAAGACATAAGCCCTCCTTTCATCTATGTAATTTTTCAGCCTCTGTTAACTTAGTGGTGTATCCGCAGGTGGTTCCCTTATTACCACAATGATGTCTTAAAGCATAGAACTTAGTAGGGCTAACCATACAGATATCTTAGCCATAATTTTATATAGTGTAAGAGATCCTCTATTTAACATATATAAATAATTGAGAATACAATATAAAATAAGGATTGTCTTGGAAGCAATAGTTTTGTCTTTTTGGATATTTATTATATAAAAATATAAATATAAAATCCACTATAGCAGAGTTTCTAAGATTAAATTACATGCTTGCAAATATCATTAATAGGTTAACATACCCTTCTGAACATGTCATCATGTCAGCCTCTCTGTCATTTTAAGATGGAGCAGCGTCTGTCTCCAAGTCTCTCCTCTGTTTTTTTTTTAACATTTTAAAAGAACACCTATTTATACCTTAGGTGTCTCCATTTTAGGTTACCGTAGTTCAAGTATGAAAAAGTAACACTTCTTTTACTTTATTCATTTTAGCATCTCCCTTAATTTGGCAAACATACAAGGCCATAACTAAAGGGTGCATACGTCATGGAAATTTTCAGTTCAAGATGGCATCTTAAAGTCTGAATAGGTTATCTGTTGTTTATACTAAGACGTAAGTGTACAGTCGTGGGAGATTCCCGGATTTGGGGAAGTTCCATTAACTTGGGGTTACCACAGTATATTGTATACTGCAAGAGTCGTAGTATAGCCTTGAAGCTTGTTTATGCATTATTGTTATTGTAATTCGTCTGGGACAAAATGGCGCAAACATATTATGCACTGAGGTTATTGCTTAAAGAAACAGTTATGAAAAACAATATGTTCCATTTCTAACACCTTGTCAGTTTGCAATATCTCTTAAAGACAAAGTACACAGTTTAAGAAATACATTTCATTCTAAAACTTGTAATATTTACATTTGCCCATAACACCCTCTCCATTAAACTGTGGGCATTGTAGACCATTTCTTCCTTAAATTAGTAAACCAAAGTTCTCCAACAGTCTTTAAAGGTCTGTAGAAGTTTACATTTCTTAGATACATTGCTGGAGGTTGTGTTTGTAGAATACCCGGGTATTAGTTGTATAGTATTGGTTGTAGAGTCCAGCTTTCCAAATATTTAAGTACACAGTTTAAGAAATACAACATTTCATTCTAAAACTTGTAATATTTACATTTGCCCATAACAGTGGCACCTAATTGCATGGGTTCTGGTGGTGGAGGCAGAGGTGGTAAGTTGAGCAATGCTGTAGAATGCAGACTGGGGACTGGATAGGAGTATAACCTTCTTTAAATCTCAAAGTGAGTGCGTCTCTCCCTTACAGGTGATACTCGAAAAATTAAAATATCCTGCAAAAGTTCACTTATTTCAGTAATGCAACGTAAAAGGGGAAACTAATATATGAGATGGACGCATTACATGCAAAGCAAGATAGTTCAAGCCGTGATTTGTCATAAGTGCGATGATTATGGCTTACAGCTCATGAAAACCCCAAATTCACAATCTCAGTAAATTAGAATATTACATGCAATCAATAAAACAAGGAGTGTACATAGAACGATATTGGACCTCTGAAAAGTATAAGCATGCATATGGACTCAGTACTTGGTTTGGGCCCCTTTTGCAGCAATTACTGCCTCAATGCGGCGTGGCATGGAAGCTATCAGTCTGTGGTATTGTTGAGATGTCAATAGCAGCCTTCAGCTCTTCTGCATTATTCGGTCTCATGTCTCTCATCTTTCTCTTGGCAATGCCCCATAGATTCTCTATGGGCTTCAGGTCAGGTGAGTTTGCTGGCCAATCAAGCACAGTAATCCTATGGTCATTGAACCAGGCTTTGGTGCTTTTGGCAGTGTGGGCAGGTGCCAAGTCCTGCTTGAAAATGAAGTCAGCATCCCCATAAAGCTCATCTGCGGAAAGAAGCATGAAGTGTTTCAAAATCTCCTGGTAGACGGCTGTGTTGACCCTGGACTTAATGAAGCACAGTAGACCAACACCAGCAGATGACATGGCTCCCCAAATCAACACAGACTGTGGAAACTTCACACTGGACTTCAAGCATCTTGCAGTGTGTGCCTCTCCATTCTTCCTCCAGACTCTGGGTCCTTGGTTTCCAAATGAGATGCAAAAGTTGCTCTCATCAGAAAAGAGGACTTTGGACCACTGAGCAACAGACCAGGTCTGTTTTTCTTTAGCCCAGGTAAGACGCTTCTGACGTTGTTTGTTGTTCAGGAGCGGCTTGACAAGAGGAATACAACATCTGAAGCCCATGTCCAGGATCCGTCTGTGTCTGGTGGCTCTTGATGCACTGACTCCAGCCTCAGTCCACTCCTTGTGAAAGTCCCCAACACTTTTGAATGGCCTTTTCCTGACAATCCTCTCCAGGCTGTGGTCATCCCTGCTGCTTGTGCAACTTTTTCTTCCACACTTTTCCCTTCAACATAAATTTCTATTAATGTGCTTTGATACAGCACTTTGGGAACATCCAACTCAATTTGCAATTACCTTTTGAGGCTTTCCCTCCTTATGGAGGGTGTCAATTATGGTTTTCTGCACAACTGTCAGGTCAGCAGTCTTCCCCATGATTGTGATAACTACTGAACAAGACTAAGAGACCATTTAAAGGCTCAGAAACCCTTTGCAGGTGTTATGGCTTACTTAGATGATTAGAGTGGGACACTGTGAGCCTAGAATATTGCACCTTTTCACAATATTCTAATTTACTGAGATTGAGGATTTGGGGTTTTCATGAGCTGTAAAATATAATCATCTCACACATGACAAATCACGGCTTGAACTATCTTGCTTTGCATGTAATGCGTCTATCTCATGTATTAGTTTCCCCTTTTACGTTGCATTACTGAAATAAATTAACTTTTGCACGATATTCTAATTTTTCGAGAATCACCTGTATATGATTATCTATGACAATACATAAATCTATAAGATCCTCAATAAAACAAGGAGTGTACATAGAACGATATTGGACCTCTGAAAAGTATAAGCATGCATATGGACTCAGTACTTGGTTTGGGACCCTTTTGCAGCAATTACTGCCTCAATGCAGCGTGGCATGGAAGCTATCAGTCTGTGGTACTGTTGAGATGTTATGGAAGACCAGGATGCTTCAATAGCGGCCTTCAGCTCTGCATTATTCGGTCTCATGTCTCTCATCTTTCTCTTGGCGATGCCAAGACAGGAAATTCTCTAGATGCTGTCTCATCTAAGATATATCCATCTAAGTCTTCCTGGAAAGCGGTTACTAGAGAGTCATTATTCCATACAACCTCTGATGTCAAAGTACAGAACTCAATAGCAAAATCTGTTACCTTAGCCTTAGAATGTTAGTTATGCAAAAAGGCAGAGTGAGTATACAAGCTGAGGTCAGAGAATTACAGAGGTAAGGAATAACGATTAAACAAGCCGAGGTCAAAGGATAAGATAGAGCAGGATAAATGAGAGACAAAAGCCAGTCAAGGTACCAAACAACTAAACAGAAGGAATGCGCTATTGGACTACCAAGAAACCACAACAGGGCAACAAGGAATGGGAGAGGTGAGTACATATTGGCAATAGCTGCTTGTGATTGGATAAAAGGGGGTTACAGGGTTGGGTATATAATGAAGAGATAATGGCTGTAGTGGGGGGATACCGACTGTAGTGGTGGATATGAGCTGTAGTGTGGGCATAAGGGCTACAATTGGTGGTGATAGGGCCTGCATTTGGGGATGGGGCTGTAGTGACTGATATGGTAGATAGTGGTGGGTAGTGGCTGTAGTGGTGGATAGAGGCTACATTGGTGGGCTAGAGGCAATCCTAGGTCTATGGGGGCATTATATACAAAAAGTATATATAGTTGTGTAGGCGCTTCCAACCTTAAATGCAAACAATATGAGTGAGTGTGAAAAAAAGGTGTAATCCCTTAACACCCAAAGACAAAATAGAAAGATAAATAGATAGATTCACACACACTCAAAGAAAAAGTATATACAAGATATATACATAAATAGGTATACCACCTATTGTAGACGTAAGTATGTTGGTTACATCTGGAAAACAAATGGAACATACATAGTGCTTTCCATATAAGTTAAAATAAACAAATTATAATATATGTGGATTGAACTCACAAAGGTGGAGCCTCATAGGCTCTATGCACATCACTCTTGGGTGCCTATTCAGGCTCTCGATAAATTCCTGTTGGAAGAACTCGAGGTCCACAGTAGTAGATGTAGATACAAATTTATTGAAATAAAATATTGAAATAAAATATATAAATAACTAGGGACAAGGCAGGTATAATCATGAAATATAATACAGTATTGCACCGCAAATATGGCCAAAACTTTAAAGCAGTGGAACACTACAATACATAAACAATAAGAAAATACCGCCAGAAAAAAGTCCCAATAGAGAAGTCCAGTAAAGTGCAAACGCGTTTCAGCCCCTGATAGGGCCTTCCTCAGTGCTAAGTTCCTGGAAAAAACTTCAGGGCTTAAATAGCCCCCTTGATATGTTCAAATAGGTCCAGCTGTAGTCTCCAAATACCGCCGATCGTGTCACTTCCGGTTTCGGCAAAACGCACGTGACTTCCGGTTAGATGCGGTCACATGATATTTTTGCGTTCCACCATGCGTTCCACACTCGAGCATGGTGTAAACAGTCCCAAGGATGTCCATATTAGAAAAGGGCATATGCCCAAACAAACTTAATCCACATGGTGTAGAAACAAAGAAAATAGCAAGTAGTGAATTAGTAGATCGGTACATACATATTCTTAAAACACAAGGCACAAAAAATTGAAAAATTGTAAAATTGTGTATTAAAGAGGGGAAATGTCCAAAAGAAAAAACCCATAAAAGTATATAAATAACAATGCGTTACACCATGCTCGAGTGTGGAACGCATGGTGGAACGCAAAAATATCATGTGACCGCATCTAACCGGAAGTCACGTGCGTTTTGCCGAAACCGGAAGTGACACGATCGGCGGTATTTGGAGACTACAGCTGGACCTATTTGAACATATCAAGGGGGCTATTTAAGCCCTGAAGTTTTTTCCAGGAACTTAGCACTGAGGAAGGCCCTATCAGAGGCTGAAACGCGTTTGCACTTTACTGGACTTCTCTATTGGGACTTTTTTCTGGCGGTATTTTCTTATTGTTTATGTATTGTAGTGTTCCACTGCTTTAAAGTTTTGGCCATATTTGCGGTGCAATACTGTATTATATTTCATGATTATACCTGCCTTGTCCCTAGTTATTTATATATTTTATTTCAATATTTTATTTCAATAAATTTGTATCTACATCTACTACTGTGGACCTCGAGTTCTTCCAACAGGAATTTATCGAGAGCCTGAATAGGCACCCAAGAGTGATGTGCATAGAGCCTATGAGGCTCCACCTTTGTGAGTTCAATCCACATATATTATAATTTGTTTATTTTAACTTATATGGAAAGCACTATGTATGTTCCATTTGTTTTCCAGATGTAACCAACATACTTACGTCTACAATAGGTGGTATACCTATTTATGTATATATCTTGTATATACTTTTTCTTTGAGTGTGTGTGAATCTATCTATTTATCTTTCTATGGGGGCATTAGTCAGAGACTAGTAGCTGTAGTGTGGAATAGGGGTGATAGTGAGAGGGGAATACAGTCTGAGGAGCTGTTTTGAGGTGTTCCATTAAAAAAAGGGGAATAACAACTTTATCTTTTCAGAAAGTTACATACCTTTACTTGCATATACCATATTTGTATATATCATCTTATTGTGTGTCCAATATATTATCTGTATATTCGATTTCATTTTGAATGCCCATTTTACAATGTCTGTACTGTTTACCCACTTTAATTAAAATTTCAATACATTAATAGTAAAAATAAATATTCAATTTACCCATATTCATTTTTGTTTTCAGTGACTTCTACTAAACTCAGAGTCCAAACATGACATGAAAAGATTGTCAAGCTTTGAAACTATATTATGCTCAAAGTAATTTGTAATCTATATCTACCAAAAATAAATTGAAATCTTAGACGTGTGTACTCTGTAAATCAGGACAAATGTATATAATTTAAATTAATTTAAAATTTAATTTAATTTATTTAAATGTATCACATGTATTTAATTTATTTAATTTATATTACTTTTCTTCAACTAGTTAATAACATATTATTAGTACCAAAGCTGTGTAAACTTTTTTTTTTTGCAATTCTTTTGCATTTTCTTTCCATAATAAATGAGAATTTAGAAATGTATATATCATATCAAATTAAAGCACTCTGTTATTTGAAAATTATATATAATATGAGTATATAGGTGCTATATATATATATATACACACATACATACATACACTGTAGATTACAGTTATTATTATTACTTGCATGTATAAAGTGACAACATATTCCACAGCACGGTACAATTGGGGAAAAGGCTGTACAATATATACAGACTAATAGAAAAGGTAAAGAGGACCCTGCATGTGACCTGAGATCTAGCCACTGAAGATCTTTTATACAGAGTACTAGCTAGATAGCGACGAGCTTACAATCTAGAGGTAAGCAGGGAGTTGAGACAAGAGGTAGAAGGGGGAATCTAAAGACGATGGCTAGAGAAAATTAAAGAATAATGACAGCCACTGGTAACATATACAGGGGATGAGGAGGCAATTCAGTGTGATCAAAAACACCAAAATGGACAATTCCACATAATGGTACCAAATTAGGGGAGCTATCTACTCAACACATTTCCTAATTTGGTATCCTTAAATAGTTAAATCCCACATCAGGATGCCACATTAGGGAGATATCTTTAATTTTTTTTTTTTTTTTTTATTCTTTATTTTTGTTGTGCTTAGAATATACAGACAATCCTGCATTGCCATGACAGACGGTGCAAGCATTTCAATATACATAGTAAAACAATTGCATGGCAAACAATTTTCCTGCACATTTTTTGTATTAATAATAGTAAGTGAGAATAGTTAAGCTGCACTTTTTTTAAGAGAACATTGAAACATCTCAAGCAGATCTAAAAATGGCTTACAGACAAGATCATATAAACTGTAGGGTATGTACCATCAGGGATTTAAAACTGGTTTAGACTTATGTGACAGAACGCTTAAGCCTGTGGTGAGAGACCTGAGCTAGAGTATAGATCATAACATTATTTGAAATTTTCGAAACTAGAGTGTAAGATTTGTATAAAACAATTTGTGTTGATGATCTTCTACACTTAAAGTGACCCTTAGTGGTAAGAACAAAGAGGATCAGTGGCAAAGAAACTGCAACATAAAATTAAGTAAATAAAACTCATCAGGATAAGATTAGTCCCATGCGCTGTTCATGCTTTTCACCCCACATCACCTCCTGTGGCTTGATGAGTCAGTCCAGTTTTGAGGCCCATAAAGGGGCAGAGTAGAGTTTCTCTAAGTGAGTTTATGCCTATCTCTGCGGGTCATGGAGTGCCCTCCTCTCTGCTGTCGCTGCTGTGGGGCATGCCGCTGTGGTATTATTGCCACTCCAGTGCCTTCCACTGACCTCTCTGGTATTCGCCACCCAAATACTGCACAGAGCTGATCCAGGCATGCTAGCAGCCTGCCACCGTGGTGTGTGGGATCAGTGTTTTTTGCAGGAGCCGTCGTAGTGCAGGCAGCTGCCATCTTAGGTAATTGAAGTTTCACTGGTCTCCCGCCTGTGCCTATCCAGCAGGGTCTGTGTGTGCTGGCTTGTAGATGTGCTGTGGTGGACCAAGATGACCCCTACTGGTCCAAATAAGGGGGTAAGGATCTGCAATGCCCTACAGGACTTTGAAGTTGGGAGACCGGCCGCGTCTCCCACTCCACATCAACTGCCAGGCCACAAGAAGGACCTGCCTATGCGAGTGCATGTGGACAGTCTGTGATACCCCAATACTGCTCCTGCTTAGAGCTCTGTGAGGTGGGTAAGTAAGGTGCCTGGATAGCTCAGCGGTTTTGCCTTGTATAGGGTTTAATGTAGTCCACTTGCTCAGAGCTCTGGGTAGATGCGACTTCTCTTCATGGTGGTCAAGCTCTGCCCCCCAGTTTTATTTCAATATGTTCATAGCTTATTCACGTTTTTTATATGTTGCAAAAAGTAAACACAAAATGTGACATGTTTATGACAAGGGTCATACCCAATGGAATGTCGCAAATGCTAATAAATGTACTAAAAGGAGCACTATAGGGTCAGGAACACAAACATGTATTCCTGACCCTTTAGTGTTAAAGCCACCATCTAGCTCCCCTGGCCCCCTTTTCCTCCCCAAATATAGTAAAATCTTACTTGTATTCATGTCTGAAGCTGCTGCCTCTGCCTGTGAACTGCCTCTGTCTGCTGACATCATCAGAAGTGGTGGTCTGAGCCAATCACAATGCTTTCGCATAGGATTGGCTAAGACTGTCAAGGAGGCAGATCAGGGGCAGAGCCAGCACAAGTCAAACACAGCCCAGGCCAATCAGCATCTCCTCATAGAGAGGAATGGAATCAATGCATCTCTATGAGGAAAGTTCAGTGTCTGCATGCAGAGGGTGAAAACACTGAATAGCAGTGCTACTTACTCTGCAGCACTACCCAAGGAAGCAGTTTTAGCAGCCATCTGAGGAGTGGTCAGTGGAGTTATCACAAGGCTGTAATGTAAACAATGCATTTTCTCTGAAAATACAGTGTTTACAGCAAAAAGTGGTAGGAATGATTCTACACACCAGAACAAATGTAATAAGCTGTGGTTCTGGCGACTATAATGTCCCTTTAATAGTGACGCTACTATGTAACGTTATAAATATAGGGTCAGTACATGTTCAAAATTTAATTCAGGTCACAATAAAATAAAGAGTGTAAAAAAATAAATAAATCTTGGCTAAACATTCAGTGTCTTACATGAAAGTTCAACTGAAAACCATTCAAACTAGCTGAAATTGTTTTTTCTTAGCCTTTCCTAGTTTAGTTGACATGCTGTATGAAAGAATTAGGTTTTTGCTTCCATTGTAGCACTTTTCTAAACACCTTCACCTCCTGCATCTTTAGAATCTCAGGCTGCAGGTTCTGCAATAAACTCTCAGTTATAGAACCACACACATATATCTGTTAACTCTTCTGTGACTCATTCCGGTATCAATTGTTCTGTTTCAGATTCTACAATGTTGAATGTGATTTCTGTTGGGGACAAAGCATCATTACAGCACCCCAAAATTCATAATACCCACATTGTAGATTTTACAACCTTTCCTTCGGTCTCAGACTCAGATTTTTCTGATTCAGAGGATTTGCTTGTTGATCCTCTTGATTGGAATACTAAATCTACTATTCCTGCCCAGCAACCTGTATATTTTGATTGGGAATCGGATGATGAGACTGCATATAGTACTGGAGACCCCAAAATGGATCACATCTATGATTTTTATGGTGCTCAGTATTTAGTCTCTCTGATTCAGATGAATATACAGCACTCCAGACGGCAGTATGGTCTAAAGGACCATACTAACAAGTCTCCAATAAAGACTTAAAAAAAAAAAAAGACCTGTTTCTGCAAAGTTTTCTTTTCAGGTTCACTCTGGATTTAAAGAAGAATCACTACCTGCTTCTCAGTGACAAATTCCAATTTAGGTGATAACTGAAATACTATCTGTGACAGAACCATCTGTCTGCTTGTATTTTAGTTGCATTCGTCTGTTTGTATCCCGTTCGTATGAATGGCTGTTTTCTATAGCCCAGCCATTCGAATGACTTTTTTCCCGAACAAACCTGCCGAACGGATGGCCACCCAGGAGAGAAGTGTGCTGCTGGTTAACCTATTGATCCCAATTAGAACGTTGTGGTTAACCGCAGACACTTCTCAATTAGACCGAATTCAGGGTGGTCGTCGTTCGTATGTCGACCACGAGGCAGCGGCCATTTTAAACCACGCGAAAGCCCAGCGGTGTTTGGCTCTATTTCTATGGAACTAAAAACGGACACTTTTTCTGCCGAACACCGCTGAAACAACGGAACGCCTGGCTGTCTCCACGAAAGCATACGAATACCGGCCGTTCGGGAGGTTTGGAGCATACGAAAAGACTTAACCCAGATAGCCTTCCCATGGAGTCATTCGTATACCGAAAGACTGTAAGAACTTTGACTCCATGGCGATTGAACTATGTGTGTGGGATCTGAGCACTATTCGCTAATAATATGCACTCAGATCCAGGCTATCTGGGGATATGTAATACGAATGGGAAATGTTCGGTTATTTGAAAGTTATGTATTTTTATGTCTTTTATGATGTTATATTTAAAATGGCAACTGGCTTCGTCCTGGAGATAATTGAGTTACTCGGTAATTATCTCCAGGGCAGAGGGGAGGGAATCATAATGCACTGTGGGTGAAATCTGTGACTGTGTGTCTGGAATGTCCCCATATCTGTCTGTCATTTAAGTCTCCCATTTGGTCCCCTAGGGGAGTGTCCACCAAGTGGGAGACCTGCATAAATACGGGCAGGTAGCCCACAGTAAAGCCAGATCCTGTTTGACCCTCAATGCGGAGCTTCTGTCTCGTTATTGGGGGGATTTCTTCTTCATGTTTAGAGACTGCTGGATGGAACCAAAAGCCGCTTGGTGGATATTGTTGTTCGGCGGGTAGCTGCAGTTCGTGTATTGCCGTTCGGGAGTTTGGAGCCGTTCACGGATCCCGGTCGGGAGATTGCCGCTTCCCCTGCATTTGGTTCGTGTACTACAGGTTAGGCGAACGGAGTTACTGTTACTGCAGACGGGGAAGGTCTACTAAACGGCGGTTTTGCCTAAAGACACTGGAGGTGTCTTAACAATTGGTGGCAAGCGACGGGATGAATCCCACAGCATTGGAGGTCAGCTACAAGACATGCAGTACGGGGAATTAAGGCGTGCTACACTTAAGGATATATTGGAACGCCGAGGAAGGTCAGCAAGCAATTTAAAAAAGAGGGAAATTATTGCTTTACTACTGGAGATGGATGCAGCATCGGGAATGGAGAGAGTCAATGTGCCCAGTACCTTGGATTTAACACCCGAGGAATTACAAATTAACCGGGCAGTGCAAATAAGGCTGGCACATTTTGGCCCCAACCCCTCAGCTGACATCGTGGAGCGTGTGCAGGCAGCAGTAACAGCACACCAGGTGCTCCGGGAAAGAGGAGCTGCAGCAGCAGAGGTACCCAATAACAATTTTGCTAGGAAAAAGGTACCATTTGCTGCATTTAAAAACTTTATTGAAACAGAGGGCGAGATTGATGGGTTCCTGGCGGATTTTGAAAGGCAGTGTGCCCTACACCAGGTACCAGCAGATGAATGGGTCACCATCCTCTCTGGGAAGTTATCCGGCCGGGCTAGTGAAGCGTTTCGGGCCATCCCAGAGGAGGAGATCACCAGCTACCAGGCTGTGAAGGATGCACTCCTAGCCAGGTATGCGGTGACCCCAGAAGCGTACAGACGGAGATTTAGAGAAACCAATAAGCAGGTTGGTGACTCTTATGTGGAGTGGGCCTGCAGAGTTCATCGTACCGCAGCCCACTGGATGGCAGGATGCCAAGCGGTAACTGGGGAGGAAGTGCTACAAGTGTTCCTGCTGGAGCACTGCTTTGATAGACTACCTGCTGGGGTCTGGGAGTGGGTCAGAGATAGAAAACCCTCTACCCTACCCGAGGCTGCTATTCTGGCAGACGAATACACGGATGCCCGCAAGTTGGATGGTGCAGCTGCCAAAGCCCCGGCCAGACTGGAGTATCAACCAGCAGTAACACCCGCTCCTCCAGCATACCAACCCCCAGTACACCGTACCCCAGCCGCACCGCCAGCTAACAACTATGTGCAGCCATCCAGATTTAATGCCCGGGATTATTCACAACCTATCCGGTGCTTTGGGTGCAAACAGTTGGGGCACAACCATCCAGAGTGCCCACTGAACAGTGCCAACCAAGCCCAGTCCTGGAGGAGACCAGCCAATGGGAACCAGCGGCCACCTCAGCCTGCTGCTCACTGCATAGGAGTTCTGGGGCATCCTACACGAGGCCGACCCAGTGCAAGCAGCTCACCAGGATAATCGCCAGCAACATCAGCAAACCGTGAAGCTGAATGGCAGAGTGGTGAATGGGCTGAGAGACACAGGAGCCACGATGACACTGCTCCAAAAGAATTTGGTCTCGGAGCATCAGCACACTGGGGACACTGTGGCAGTAAGGGTAGCAGGGGGTGCCGTGCCCAGGTACATTTGGATTGGGGAGTGGGCGCTAGACATGTGGATGTGGGGGTGATGAAAGACTTGCCCGCAGATGTTCTTCTGGGAAACGATTTGTCCCCTTTGGTTTCAGCCTATGCTCCGATGGGCCCTGCGGATGTGAACCCAGTGACCACCCGTGCCCAGACCCGTGCTGCCGGAACCGGCCCACCTGCTGATGAGACCCAGGTAAGATCTCCTTCCCCGACTGGTACCCCAGATCAGGTCCCCTTAAGCTGGGATTCCCCAGAGGACTTTGGGAGGGAAACCCGGGCAGATCCGACCCTCCAAAAGTACAGAGACAGGGCAAATGCTGGAGAGGAAGGAATAGATGGGGAACGGTATGAGTGTGTGGGGGACAGGTTATATAAGATATAAGATATATATAAGAGTGTTGCCCCTCCGCCGAATCGCCAGTTAGTGGTACCTGCAAAGTACCGGCTGGAGATTCTGCGGATAGGGCATGATGTTCCGTTAGCTGGACATCTAGGGTCCCGCCGCACAGCCTATAGGATCTCACAGAATTTCTTTTGGCCAAACTTTAACCAGGCTGTGCGGATGTATTGCAGTACGTGCGACACATGTCAACGGGTAGGAAAGCGGGGGGACCACCCTAAGACTAGGCTATTATCGATGCCTATTATAGGGGAGCCCTTTGCCCGCATAGCCGTTGACATTGTGGGTCCACTGACCAGGGCTAGTCCATCAGGTAAGAAATACGTTCTTACCGTGGTGGACTATGCCACTCGCTATCCAGAGGCAGTAGCGCTGTCTAATATAGAGGCAGAGACGGTTGCTGATGCCTTGGTTAGAATTTTTACTAGGGTCGGGTTTCCTAAGGAGATTCTCTACGACCAGGGAACCCAATTCACCGCTGTGCTCACCCAGCAGCTGTGGAAGGTGTGTGGCATTAAGCCGTTACTTAGCTCACCCTACCACCCACAGACTAACGGTCTCTGCGAGCGCTTTAACGGTACCCTCAAACAGATGCTGAGGACCTTTACAGACACTTGCAGAGACTGGGAGAGATTCCTGCCTCATCTATTATTTTCTTATAGAGAGGTGCCCCAGGAATCTACTGGGTTCTCCCCCTTTGAGCTGCTGTATGGGAGAAGGGTCCGCGGACCCCTAGATCTCATTAGAGGCCACTGGGAGGGGGAGACGGAGCAAGAGGGGACCCCCATAGTACCATATGTTCTGGAACTCCGGGACCGCATGGAGAAACTGTCCCTGATGGTAAGGGAGAATCTCCAGGCGGCCCAGGGGAGACAGAAGAGATGGTACGATCAGGGTGCCCGACAGCGGGTCTTCCAGGTTGGGCAAAAGGTATTGGTGCTCAAACCTGTGAAGGCCAACAAGATGCAAGCATCTTGGCAGGGC